GATTAAAGCATCAGTTCACAAACTTGGCAATTCAGTAGGACAACGAATAAGACAAATCAGCCCTCATCAATTAAATAAAGGATTGTCAGACACTTGAAGGGGGGGGGGCACAATGGCATTGACGTTTGTATAACAACAAAGATGAGGGCATTAGTCCAACTAAACAATACAAATAATAGTATCCAATTACTGCCTCGTCCTCTACTCTTTAATCTTGATGGATGCTTTCCCCCCCCCCCACTCTGTACTTATCAACTAAGTGTCTGGCCTGCTTAAACATAGGTCAGACATATCTCTGTTTATCTTTGGCCACTGATTCTGCATTAATGATGATGACTCAAAACAATTGATATATTACTTATTAATTTTAACCTGTGAAAATTTCAGTTTTCCTATTTTAATATTCTGATGAATCTTAAGTTAATGATTGAATAAGCTCATGGCAAGTTCTATGATAATAAAATCTGCAAAAATTTCCCCATTGCATTGTTAAATATTTGAGCTTAACAACTTTAACAAAATATTGCATTAACAATCATAAATTATTAATTATTTCAAGAAGTTTGTATAAATGAACAGATTTGAAATTGACAACTATTTTCATTAAACACTTTCTTTATTTTATCATTTTCTCACTGAAACCAAGTAGTCTTTTCCCCCTCTTTTTGATGCAATCAAAATGGAATAGTTCCTTATAAGGTGTTGGTAGGACATAACTGTCATGCAGACTAATGAAGGGAGAGACAAGAACACTTATAATTGGATAGAGTAAGAGGACTAGATCCCCTCTCATTGGTTCATTATTAACAAAAACTATCCTGCTGAAATTTTGTTTTTTATTTAATATGTGACATCAGTTTCTTTCCTAATATTGCTCATTGTGCATAAGTTTAATTCTGGCATTGAATAGCTATCTTGTATAACTTTTATCAGTATTGATTTAATGCATTTGAAATAGAAACATTTAGAGCATATAGTCTGGTGTTGTTATCAGGCCTCACATCCCACCTGCTCCATCAGATTTAAGTCCCTTGAACCTTTTTCTAAAATTGAATCTATTTGTATGTTGTCTAAGAATTTAAATTTTTTTTTTTTTTTTTTTTTCATAGCTTGTTAATATTCAATGTGTTTTCTTTAATATTTCTATATTATTTTGGCCATTATCAACATTAATCTTCAATTTTAGCTGATCTATTCTAATGTGAATGTTGCAGATGAATAGTTACTTCCATTTCATAGTCATTAATTGTATCATCAAATTTTGTGCATTTTGAAGTATAATTCTTAGCTATCTGCCAGCTTCTGTTTGATTTTAATGATTTTTTTTAACACACACTCAGTTTATCTGATTTTTGTCAATGAAAGATCATATATTGTTCTTTTTCTGCATATTTATATTAAAAAAAAGTGATAAATAACATTCAGGTTTTCAATGAATCATTATTTACTAACCTGTAAACAGTCATTCTGAGTAATACTTTCTTTTTATAGACATAGATTTTCTATAATTTCATTCCGGATTTGAATTTATCTTTTTTTTTTTTTTTGTACTATTATATTTATGACTTAGTTAATAATTTCTCCCTTAGGAGCCAATGCACCTCTCGTTTAAGAATTGTTTTAACGTATTATTGCCCATAGTAAAATCTTGTGTTATAAGAAAAAAAAAAAATATAAAGTTATAAATCCTGTTTAGCACATGTCTGCCTTTTTATTTCTGAGTAGACTAATCCTGTAGATAAGCCATCGGACTAATTGCTTTTGGAATTTGAATTTGATTTTTCTTAAACCAAAAATGAAGTGACATTGTGTCATGCCAATTTCTGATTATTTCTTCTTGTAACATTAAAATTTGAATGAATATATCAGATTCCTTATGAGTGAGGACTATTTCTCTTGAATCTTGTAGAGACAAAAAATAAAATCAATCTCTCTCTCTTTTCAGTTTAAAATACCAATGGGGTTCCAAAATGTCCGTTTTTTAGATATCACTGCATTATGTTTAGGCATACATCTAATTTTATACAAAGTACATAAAAGAATATTTATTTCCTCTATAACTGTCATTATTTCTTTGTATTCTTATTATTGTGGATAAATTGCCTGAAGTTTAAAAAAAATGATTTAATTGGTGTATATTTAGAGTACTCTCTACATGTTTGGCTGTAACTGTCTGTCTGTCCTCATGAGGCTATCTTGCATTTTTGAAAATGTTTGCCATTCTTGTATTGTTGGCCTATTATGCCATCATTGACATTTGATTGCATTTTTATGTTACCTTTTATTTAGAACTTAAAACATTTGAGATTGTAGAAAACAGATACATTAAGACGTTGGTAACTCTGTATAGAATTTTTTTTAAAATGGAGAAATCTAGACATTTAAAATTCATATTATCCAATAATTAAATGTGGTAGGTTGCTTACATTAAAAATATTTCTCAGAAAAAAATTTTCTTTTGATTTTTTTTTTTTTTTTTTTTTTTTAACAAAACATGAAATAATTTAATAAACAAGAATTTCTGATTCTTAATTTCATAATCAGGATCTTTTTTCTGTCTTAAGAATAAGAATACAATTTGCAACAATCCTTCTACATTTTGTAGAAATAACTTTTTGCACACATTGGTTCTTTTATAGAAATCACAATTCAAGTAGTTTTTCTTGTGTAATCTCTGAAGCAATCTGTCTATACTTGAGAATACTTCACTTTTCACTTTAATCTTCATTCTAACCCCCCCCCACACACACACACACACACACACACTCTTTTAGCCAAAACAATATACTTGGTTGGTTGCATGTTGCCATTTATCTTGATCCTGTTCACCTTTTTGCAACCAACTCAAGTGTTGTCATTTATGATATTACATGTAAGTTATTTTTATTGCTATTACTCATTTTGCTGCCTTTTCTTACCAGATTAGAAACCCAGATAGTATAGTAGAATTATCTTATGTGCTCATACATTAGGAAAAGGATTCCTAAACTTCACTATAATTCACCCCCTCAATTCACTTGACTAATTTTAGTGCTATCTTTAGTTTTATTATGCAACCAATGATGTACTTTGTGTATATTATGGCAGGATATATTTTTAAAACTGATGTCTGTTTTTTTGTTTTGTTTTTTTTTTCTCTCTCTCTCTCTCTCTCTCTCTCTGTTCCATCCCTGCCAAAAAAGCAGCAGTTAATTTATTTGCTTAAGGACTATTTTTATAAATTTACCTATCCCATATCTTATACAAAATTATACCATTGATATTATATAGAGAAGCTATATTGCAATTTTCCACCCTCAATACAAAAATTATCACTTTAGGAATCTTTTGAAAATATTTCCATTGATATTTAAAAAAAAAAAAAAAAAAAATTTTTTGCCCATTGAAACTTTGATGGCAAAAAGCTAGTCTTGACTATTTTGTAACTTTTCTTAGCTTTCAGATAATGTCTGTATACAGAAGCTGTTTCATTGTCAATAATGTTTAAAAATGAGTCTACACAATTGAATGACAAAATTGCATGTGATATTTGTCCATTTGTAGAGAGGAGATATTTCTGGCAAATGACAATGTAATACAATAGGGATTATTACATATATTCTCCATTGTTTTTAATATTGCCATAGATTTTATCTGTTAATGCCCAATTTTTAAAAACTTCAGATCGGAATTGTGAAAAGCAATACTTGTTGCATTGTACATTTGAGTTTATGAATAATGTTTTATTAGGTGCATATGACTTCAGTAGTGAATGAATAGAACCAACTTCAGTGGTGAACAACTATCATATGAGAGATAATTGCGTATCGATAGATGATGGGATTAACATCTAAACATCTTTCCAGAAGAAACTGGGACTTATCAACCTGATTGATATATGACAGCCAAGATTTGGGATAAGAATGTTAATATTGTCTTGTGTCAGAGGACAATTTTTAAAGCTGCTTTCATGACTTGAATGTTACCCTATTGTATCTTAGAAGTTTGTGTATTTTATAAACTGCTTGGCCATAGAGAGCACCATATGGCTAAGCCACAAGATAATATTCAGAGTAGTAGGAAATAATCTTGGGTAAAAAATCTGTTGATTCCTTAGAAATTACTTTTGTATGAAATGTGTATGCAAATCTATTAGGATCTAGGAATGCAATGGACAATTCTATACTCACACTTTTGTTTTTTGTTTTTTTGTTTTTATTTACTATGATTTTTTTTTATTAAAAAGAAAACTAGTCAGTAAAATTTTTTATTTCTACTGGTGGAATAAGAAAACAAAACTTAATAATATTCTTGCTTGATGTTGTAAGAATGTTGCTAATCTTTTGGGGGATAAAAATTTGTAATGCAAAAATAAAATCTTGCTAAAATTGATGCTAAATTTTTATTGTAGTCAGTATAATTTTACTTTCTTTTTTTCCTCCAGTAAAGGGACTTATTGGGACCTTTTCATGAGCACCTTGTATTTATTTACCTTCCAACGCACTTGTATGATTTTATGAAAGAATGTTTTGAGTTAATGTATGCTAATAATTCATGACAAAATTACATAATACCTTGCAAGACAAAAATTGCATTAGTGGAAAGTAATATTTGATATTTTTAGTGGCCAATTATTAAAATATTGGCCCTTTCTAGGTCAATTTTCTGTTTTAATAATTGTATTTTCAAATGTGTTTGTTTAACTACATAATAAAAATTCTAAGATAAATTCAGATGCTCTTGAATATAAATCCATTCCCCCCAACCCTATAACGGATATATAAAATTAAAATGCTCACAAATTTGTTCTTGGCTATTTTAGTCTTGGCAATTTGATTTATGTCTTTTTACATGCAACTAAAATGTGATTTTTAAAAATGATGGTAAAAATGGTGTTTGTGAGGGGTTTTTTTTAAAATTTTTTTCTCTCTCTCTCAATGATCTTTTAAAACATAAGTGATTTGTCAGTAACAAATTTAATTTTTCTTTTTTTTTTCCTTTCTCTCTCTTTCTTAACCCAGTTGGCCTGCTGTTGTGGCAGTGCTGCCTGTTCCCTATGCTGCTCAGCCTGTCCTTCATGCAAATCTTCTACAGCCAGCCGTATTGGCTATGCTCTGATGCTGGTCTTCAGTACTATTGTAGCCAGCATTATGCTTATACCAGACCTACGCACCAAACTGGACCAGGTAGGTGGATACATTATTACAATTGGCCTATCAATTTTTATTTATTTATTTTTTCTTTTTAATCCATCTCTCATCACTTTGAAACCTGTAAATTTTACTTACATATATATTGATTCAGAAGTTTTCTCATTTGGGGTTTGGGGCCAGAATGCTAACCATAGGTTCTTTAATTACAGCATGGTATTATTGAGATTTGGTGGTTATGGTGATACACTGAAATCCTAATTTTCCTGAAACCATTCCTATGCACAGTGTGGCAAGGCACATTATCCTGCTGGGAGATGCCATGGCCATCATAGAAAATCTGTTTTCTCTGGCCTTCAGTGATGTTGAGATAGGTGGGACACTACAAACTATTTTCCACACAAATTACAGAATTCAGCATTTTCTGGTAGGGCATCATAAGTTGTACTTGGTGGGAAAAACTCTGTTCACTTTCTGCATTGATAAATTTTGATAGTCCCGTTACCTTGTCAGCAGTTGATTTTTTTTTTTTTTTTTTTTTTTTTTAAATTATTATTATAAACTCCTACTCCTAGCACTGCTGAGTGTGAGAACCCCAGAAATTGCAGTTTCAGGAAGTCTATTCTTGGTTTTTGTCATAGTCACTTAAACCTTTTCCTTTTCTCCTTAACTGTGGCATTCAACACCTCCAAATGAAGTTGGAGTGAGTCCTGATAAAAATAAAATATATAAACAAAAAAAAAAAAGTTACAGAAAGAAAAAGATAAGGGTTTTAAAAGAAAGCACAAATGATTTATTTTCACTTGAATTTTTATTTTTGTTTATATATTTTAATTTTATTGGGAGTCCTTACAAAGTTAAACATTGCATTGGTTTAAGTGTCATTATTTTGTTTGAAAGCTAAATTTTCTTTTCTTACTCATATCCTTGATGATGATGACTCACAAGTTGAATGTTTGGACTTAATGTAAACTTTGGCTACTTCTTACATCAATAATGGCCACATTTGCATAACATAATTTGCATATTAAAGGAAAAAAAATGATCAGTAAATTTAAGAAAATCTCTTCATTTTTCATAAAACTTGTTTACAAGAACAATTGCTGCTAAAAATATAGGTTGGTGCAACAATGTTTGTGATTATTTTTTTTATTGTATTTATTTTATTAACCCATCAACTTTGAAGCGGCTTTGAATAAAATTTGTTAGAATAAAAAAGATTGGCATCTATGTATTGTTGTAAACAATGTCTCATTTTGGTGGCATAAAATTCTTTTGTCAATAAATTCATTATTTGAAGACCTTTTGAGCTGTTGCTTTGTTATTGAAGGACTTCTTTTGCAGGAAATTGACATCCTTAAAAAAAAAAAAAAGGTAGTGGTAGTTGGTGAGATTGATGGAACCCTGACTGAATCCTGGGTTGATATGCTTTATAGTTTTCACTGTTTTACATTCCATTTTGAATTTCTACAGTAAAATTGCTTGCCTTAACCCCCAGCACCCATCATCAGGCAAATTTAAAAAAAAAAAAAAAAAAAAATGAAGACAAAGGCATAAGTCAAAAGAGCAAAATTTCTGCTTTAACAGATTTTGTTAGAAATAAAGAAAAGAATGCTGAACTGCTTTGTAATATCATTCCTCCTATATGATAGTGATGGCTGGACAGCTTTCTCACAGATGAAGAGGAGACTTGTGCTGAGAATAGACAGATGCTGGGAATAGCATGTAAACAATGAGGAAGTTTTAAAGAAAATAAGAAAAAAGGACATTTATGCTTAGAATTCAAGAAATGAAACTTCTTGACTCTCACAGGATGTATTGATAGCAATAAATAAATCACTAAATAACCTCTAGCCTATAGTACTAGACTTATGTAGGAGTACAAAACCAAAATAATAAAAGAAAAATTAAAAGTTAAGTAATAAAAATAATTTGAAATATATGAATGATAATTAACAATAAAAAGGTACATTTATAAAAAAAATAGTTAAATAAAATCTAGAATACCCTCATAATGTATCTGAAACATTTTCTCCCCAATTGAAACAAAAATCAAATGTTCACTCTTTGATTTTGTTGGACAAAGGAGGCAGATGTCTGTCATTTCTCCATTAAAACATGTTGCAAACTTTTTGCAAACTATATGAATATATGCCTTAAAATATACATGTATTTCTCTGAAATATATACTAAAGCATTTTATCGTTTTTGTCTATGCTTATTTCAGTGCATCTTGTATATGGTTTTGTTTGTAATTCTGTTGTGGGATACTGTTTTTTTTTCAAAAATTGTATATGTATATATGTATAATATTCAGACAAGGCTAGTACATGACCAGGATAACCCACAAACTTGTGTAAATAGATAACAGAACAGATAGGGGATGAACACTGTTATGAGTTATAAAGAATAGGAAATTGTGCAGAGCCATGGTTGCTCATGTCCCTTCAGGTCTAAGCAGGTAGATTGCATGAACATTTTATCCTAAAATAACAAAAATCCTAATTAATTTTGCACCAATCTAATATATTGTTCTTTCAAGGTCTTGAAATACATGAAGAAAAAAATGATTGTTTACATGCAAGTGATATAAACATTAAAGAAAAAAGTTTTACAATTTTCTTTCTTTTCTTTTAAGATACCAGGGTTGTGTAAAAATTTCTTTGGTGAAGAAGTTATACACAATGTACACAATCGCACTGCATTCTGTGACGATGTCGTTGGCTACTTGGCTGTCTACCGAGTTTGTTTTGCCACAACTGCGTTCTTTTTAATCTTCTCTCTCATAATGATTAATGTGAAATCCTCGAGGGATCCGAGATCTGGAATCCAAAATGGGTAAGTGCTCTCATTTATCATATTGGCTTTTTTTGTTTGTTGTGTGTGTGTGATATATATATATATATATATATATATATATATATATATATAATGTAGCCATGGAGAAAGAGGAGGGGAAAAACTTTCCTGAAGAACAGCATAGAAATTAATATTAATCCTTAGATTTGCCTAGAAATCTCTCAGTAGTTACACTTTGATATTCATGTAAAGCTGCATCTAAGTTGCCATTCATAGTAACCACTGACAGTAATTTACTATTACCCTCCTCCATCACTAATTAAATCAAATGATGGGATTATTTTGGGGTGTGTGTGTATGTATATGTATATATATATATATATATATATATATATATATATATATGTATATGTGTGTGTGTAATGTAAGAAGCTACTGGAAGTGAAAGAAGGAAAAGACTTCCTGACAGAAAACAAGTGATTAAACCTCTATTCCTCTGTTCAAAGTTGAGGTGGGGGAGTGTAAATAATAAATAAAAGTTCACTTTTAGGTTGAGATGTTAGAAGTGTAGAATTAAAGTAAACTTAGATGGAATCAGAAACAAAGTCTGAAATGGAGGAAATAAGTGATAGACCTCTATTCCTGTTTAAAAGCTCAGGGAAAGGAGTGTGAACCAGGAAAGTGCAGTAAATACTTTAAAATAGTGGGGACTCTATTTCAAAGATGGTTATCCAATAAAAATAACATTGAAGTAATAAAAATGTCAGCTTAAAAATAAATCCATTGTTTGTTTGTATGGGAGATTCTTAGTGCCACAATTGACTATTAATCTACTACTAACTGCATCTCCTGGAAATTCCATGGGTGTTGACAATGAAATTTTACCTCTGCTAGTCTCTATCCTTTTTATTTGTTTCTTCTCTTTTGTTGTTTTTTTTTTTTTTTTTTTTTTTTTTTTTTTTTTTTAAATGTTATTTGGATATGGGTGAGTTTCAAGTGTCGGAAGCCAATACAAAAATATTTTCTACTGCTGCTGCTTTTTGCCTTTATCATTCCATAAAAATTTTAATGAATTACACCTCATCTGTCCATTTCATGGCTTCGGTGAGCCACAGACCATGCAGTGTTGCTGTCTGTCTACAAATACACTCTTTATCCACTAATATAGAGCACCTTTCCTACCCCCGCCTAAATATAGAAGCTTTTTAAAAAATATTCATTTTCTTTCCATTTGTTTTCCTGTAACATTTTTATTTCCTACTTTTCCTCCTCCTCCTCCTTCATCCATCCTCTTCATTTTTTTTTTCTCTTCCTCCCTCAATTCCTTTCCACTTAATATTTAGGTTCCTTGGTTTTATAAAAAATTTAACTGAGTTCAGTTTAAAAGATTTCAGCATCTGACACGCTACACTCTGATCTGAAATAAAATCATAATGGTTGTATATAATAGTAGAGATAGGTTTTGTTGTTTTTTTTTAAAAAAAAAAAAAAAAAAAAAAAATATGACTAAAATTTAGAGAGGAGAAAAATCGGTCCTTCCTGCAACATATTCTGAATTCCAAGCTGCAAATTAATTTTCACATTGACAATAGAAGTAAACTTAATTTGCATTTACTCAAATGTTTAAAAGCAATGAATGAATTGAAGTCATTACATTGAATGATGGCTGTAAATTTGCATCTGTTAATTTTTTTTTTTTTAATAGATGCAAATTTATAGCCCTCATGATGTGTGATCATGAATTGTAACAAATTTGTTTCAGAAATTGTTTGAAAGCAAAGTAAATTTTGATTTGCTAAAGTATTTGTCTAGTAAGCTCTATTTGTTTATGTCTGACTAGACTGTTTTTTTTTTTTTTTCCTACAGTTTCTGGTTCTTCAAATTTCTCTTTTTGATTGCCCTGGGTGTTGGTGCTTTCTTCATTCCTCGTGGTACCTTTGGACAAGGTGAGTTATTATAATCTGCTTTTTCATAATCATTCTTATAGTATCTTGAAATTGCATGTTGAAAGCACATTCTATTGTCAGTGTTGTTTGTTTTTTTTTGGTTTGTTTTTTAACTGTGAAATTTGGCAAGCTTATTTAAAAAGAAATTAGTGCACCTAAAATAGAATTTGTTTCTTGGTTACCCTGTACGAGTTGCAAGAGTCCCTCGAAGTAGAGGGTTACAGAGTAACCAGCCTAGTTTATGTGGGTGGGGAGAGCTAATGGTTAACTCTATACTTGAACAGGTTAACATTGCAGGTATTGAGTAAGCACCTTCTTGGGAGTTGGTTCCACAAAGCAGTGGTTTGTGAGGAACTGCTTTAGTGGAACTTGCATCTCACCAATGAAATATGAAAGACAAATCTGTTACAATGTGCAATATCATAGCAGGTCTTAACTGTGAAGGTTGAAACTAAGAAATATAGTTTGTCCAAACTATTTTCCAAGGAAATAGCGATAAAGCAGCCGAGTGACTTGCAACATTTTGTCTGAGGAAGGTGTTGTAGGGTGGAAAAAAATTTGACACCTGCAAGGAGGTGGAGATGCTTTTGGGCTCCTATCAGGATTGAAAACTGAGCAGCTCCTGCCCATATATGGTTACAGTACTCTATTTTCAACCAGATCTAATCTTGTAAAGAATAGGAGGACTTTGATACTTCTTGGAGCAGTAGAGGGAACCATTTTTTTTTTTTTTTTTTTTTTTTTTTTCCAACATTTTTAGTGATGGGTCATATGTAAGAGTTCCATTTGATGTCTGGATTGAATTTAAGTCCCAATAGGCTTAGGAAATAACAACGCTTAATGTCACAAGTAGTATAAAAATATATTGGGCAGCAAGAAAGTTAATGATATGTAAATGTGTTGAAAGATTATTGATTATTTTGGTTTATGGAAAAACTTGTTTGGATGAAAACTTACAAAACCACATGTATCCATTTCTTCGGTTAAAACTCTTAAGTATAATGTAGTCATTTACCTGTCATGACATGCTGTATCATGTCAAATGTACAAACATTTTTGTTTATAAATAGGAGCTTAATAGTTTTATAAGCAGTGATAACAATATACACAAGTGCATTAGATAATTAATATTGAGAATTCCATGAACAGAAAATGTGAAAATTGAAGAAGTTTTAAAGAAAATGAGAACTAGAAAGAGTTATACTTAAAATCAAAGAAAAATTGAAATTTCTGGGACACATTGAGGAAAGACTGCTTGGAGAATATAATACTCAGAAGACATATTGAGAAAAAGAAGGCTATGGGGAAGTGCAGCAAGCAACTTGCTGAACGAGTTTGAACAGCCCAAAAAGTTGGGACAGATCACTTAGAGCTACAAATGACAGGAAGTTGTGGAGAGCTATGGATGTCTGTGTCCTGAAGGGACATGGTATATAAATGATGGTGGTGATAGTAGTAGTATAAACAGCACTTGGGTTTTTTTTGGGGTTTTTTTTCTATTCTTGAGATAGGTTTGAGATTGAGAGAATCGATAGAGGACAAGTCAGTTAAACTCTAACAATTCTGAGAGTTTTAATTACACTAGGGCCTTGTATCTTTTTTTAAAAAATTGTATTTTTGTGTAGTGATACAGTTTGAATATCTTTTCCTTACTAAATGTATTCATTTCCAGCTTGGATGGGTATCGGCATGGCTGGCGGCTTGCTCTTTATTCTTATCCAATTGATTCTTCTGGTTGACTTTGCCCATGGTTGGAGCGAGAGTTGGGTCGAGAGGTATGAGGAAACTGAATCCAAATGTTATTACTTTGGTATGTAAACTTATTCTATTCACTCTCCTCTTCTTTTTTTTTTTTTTTTTTTTTTTTTCTATTAAAGTTGTAATTGGAATGTGATGTATTAATAAATACAGACTTAAATTCCTTCTAATAATTTATAGAGACCATCCCATTTCAATAAGGTGTAGTCAGTCAGTTCCACTGACTTTTAAAAAAAAAAAAAAAATTTCACATGAGCAAGGCAATAGAGCCACTAAGATGCATGGGGTTACTGAGTGTGTGAGAATATAAGAAAAAGAAATCGTTAAGGAAAGAATAAAGAGGAATTAAGATGAAGATAACGATTGACATTGCATTTAAATTTTTGAAGATCAAAATTGACTGGAAAGTAAGGAGCCAGGAGAGTTTTACAAGCAAGAAGTACAAAAGAAACTATTAGTTATGGTTACATCAAGCCATTTCAACTGTAAAATGATGAGACCTAACTGCCAATCTAGTACTGCACTCAAATTCATAAAGCCAAGGTAACAAAGATAAAATCTCATCAGTACAATTACCTTTAAAATCTTTAAAGAAAAACGGTGAAGCAACATTACAGCAGTGGGGAAAATGGCTGTTGAGATGCCAGGTCTGGACTGATAACATTGCAGATTCTTTTGGATTTTATCAAGAATCTTTCGATGTCGAGCAAACGCACCAAACTAGATGTGACAGCAATATTCAATGCATGGATAAATAGGGATCACACTTTAATAAAGTGTAGCACCTGTGTCAAGGTGTTCCGCCATGTGTTGCTGCAAATAAGCGCACAATACTTTTTGTCTAGTCATACACTTTACTCACTAGTACATTAAAAAAGTAAAAATTAAACAAAGTGCTAAAAATTGGGAAAATTTTGTTAAGAAACTGCTGTGTAATATCAGTCCTTTTATATGCCAGTGACTGTTGGGTAATATTCTCACAGATGAAAGGAAGACTTTAGGTAAGAGATATGGGTCTACATTCTGAGAATACCATGGACAGGGCATGTAAGAAAGTTTTAAGGAAAATGAAAGCAAAATTTTATAGTTGAAATCAGAAAGACAATTGACATTTCTGAGATACATTGAGGGATGAAGGCTTGGAAAATTTGATAATAAAGACATATTTAAGGCAAACAGAAAAAGGAAACTGAGTAACCTATTTGATGAACTTGTGTTGATGGATATGGCAGAATAGGTAATTGGAGGGATGGTTGAAAAAAAAAAAGTTTCTAAGTTACAATGGATGGAGAGTTATGGTTACTCACATCCTGAAGGGACATGGCACATAGTAGAATATCTCTTGCTAAGGCCAAACATTTCAACAGTCATTACAACTGTGATGCTATGGTTTATTATTATTTTTACATTACAAGGGAAGAATAACAAGTGTTTATTTTCAAAAGCTCTTTAAAATGAAACTCTTGAATATGGCTTCTTTTTTTCTTTTTTTCTTTTTTTTAATTTATATAGATTCTGACTGATAGTTTTTCAAAGATCTATATAAAAGCTTTGTTTTTGTCTTTTTTTTTTCTTTTTTAATTTTGTCCTTAGCAAGACAGAGCCACTAAGAAACAAGGGGTTACTGAGTGTGAAAGAAAAAGAATAACATTATCAAGGAGCAAGAACAATAAAAGAAGAATCAAGAAGACAGGAGATAATGATTGACATTGCATTTAAATTTTTGAAGGTCAAAATTGACTGGGAAGCAAGAGGCGGAAAATTTACACAAATGAGAAGTGTAAGAGAAGAAAATTATAAAAGGTTATTGTAAAAGGTTAATATTGAAATACAATAACAATTCAAAACAGCTAAACTGTTTCATTGATCTGCTCTCATCAAGGACAAAAATATGTGTAGAGTGACAAAGAAGACAAATATTATTAAGAGTTATGAAGGATAGACATTTGTGGATAGCTATTATTGTCCACATCCTGATAAGGGACATGACGCATAGAAGATTCCTTGACATATTTGAACAAAGTCATTATTATTGAAATGCTATGGCTAATTATTATTTTTAAAAAATATTGTCCTTTTGTAAGACATTATTGCTGGAGAAGGAAAACAAATGTATTTATTTTCAAAATCTCTTTAAAATTGAAATGCTTGAATGTTGCCCCCCACCCTCTCTTTCTCTCTCTACATATATATATATATATATATATATTATAAATTAATTGATTTAAAATATGATTTTTTTTTTTTTTTTTTTTTTTTTTGCAATTAAATTAAAGACATTAGTTCCATTTCATCCTCAAGCTTAATTTTGGAGTAACTTTTAAAATTACTGGGTTTTAAAGACAGCTAAAATCACGTTTACATGGTTACAGATAAATCTACTTCAATTGGACAAGGGTTGTCTGGGTTTTCCTTATGTCTGTATCATTGTATCGGTTATTAGCTACATTTTGGTAAGGGCTAGGGATGTATTTTTCAATGAGAACTGACATCCATTAAATGCATGTCGTCTGGATTTTTTTTTTTTTTTTTTAATCTATTGTTAACGGCAAAAAAATTCTTATGGCATTTTTTTTCCTATTTGTAAATTTAAAGATTTTCGGGGTGTTCAGATTAGAATACTTTTTAGTTTTTATTTAACTATGATTTGAAATATTCTCATTTTTAATTTTTATTATACTATATTTTTTTTATGAACTGTGTGGTGGAAAAAAAAAACCCAAAAAAAACATATTTTAAATCAATTAATTTATAATATTAATGCTCTGTAAATTTACATTGAGCACTATTTTGTAAAAATAAAAATATCTATAAGAACACTGGATTATATATCTTAGTGTTCTTTCTTTTTATTTGTTTATATATATTCTCTGACTTGATTATTAATAGTTTTTCAAAGAAGCTTCCACTCCCCTCCCCACTTCAAGCAAGGCAGAGCCACTAAGATATGGGGTTTCTGAGTGAAAGAAAATAAGAAAAAAGGATATTATGGATCAAGAACAATAAGACTAATCAAGAAGATAGTAGATAATGATTGACATTGCATTTAAATCTTTGAAGATCAAAATTGGCTGGGAAGCAAGAAGCTGGAAGAGTTCACAAGTGAGAAGTGCAAAAAAAAAAAAAAAAAAAACTGTTAGCAAAGAATTTAGTTACATTAAAAGCCATTTCAATTGTAAAATGAAACCTCATTACCAATCTTGTACTGCACTTGAATTTATAGACACTAGGTACCATAGAGCAAAAAGTACATCAGAACAATTATAATGAAAGTATTTATAGAAAAGGTGACCTTATAGCAGTGGGAAAGTGACTGAAGCCAAGAAGCCAGGTTAGGACCAATAAAACTGCAGACTCTGGATTTTATCAAGAATCACTAAATATATAGCAGAAGCACCAGGTATCACTTGCCCTTTTTTCTTTTTTACTTGGAACCATTTTGTGAATTATTGGGTTAGATTACATTCTGCTGCTTGTACCTTTTAAGCCCACATTGCATAGAGAGATGATGGACATTGCCTGTCAGTTAACCCTTTTTACCTTGAGGAAAGTGATTAATGACTCAGCATAGATCTTAATGATCGATTGAATCTGGAGAAATTCCTTTTTTTTTTTTTTTTTTTTTTTTTTTTTCTTCATTACTGTATTGAAAGATTTCTATTAAATATTGGGTCGTAAAATAAAACATGCTATCATAATATAATCATAGAAATTTCCATTACAGCTTCTTGATGATTTAAACCTTTTTAATGAATTTAAGTATTTCTTATTTCTTTACAGGTTTACTGTTTTTCTCTGGCTTTTTTTACCTTATTTCACTCACGGCTATTGTACTCTTCTACATTTTTTATGCTGGGGTGAGTATTTTTCATCATGAAACTGCTGTTCGTCACACTGTAAAATCCCCTCGGAAACTAAGCAACAGCTCTCGCTCCTTCTTGAACTATCTTTCCTTACAAATATATAAACTTTGCTCTCTGTATCTTTAACATGGATGTTTGTAGAGAGTTCAAGAATGACGGAAATCTGTGAACTGTCAGCTAATTAACAAGGATCATTGTTGGAGAGTAAAGAAATTAAAGGAAACAGCATATATGATATTAGCCAGTTACATAAAATCAGGGCATTGTCGGCTTTCTTTTATTAGCAAAAGTGTTACAAAAGTGTATAGTTTTCGAATCCCCTGGGTATACAAGTGGTGGTATATACCTGTGTACCTAGTCCTGTTGGGATTTTATAAAGTAATGTTTTCCTCTTCTGGATTGTACCTCCTGCCCTGCTGACAGCTGAAAAGGGGGTTCAATTGTTCAAACAAAATTTGGAATGTTGATAATTCTTCAAGTTACAATGAGAAATTTTATTACATATCTATAAATGAATTTTCCTGGATTATTTTACTTTATTACCAGTTAAGTTTCTCTACTTAGTCATTCAAAGCTGCCTTATTTCCTAATGATGACTCTTTTTTTTGCTTTTACTTTCCTTTTTATGATATGTTTGTGTGCATTTGCTACTATGACACAGTAACAATTGCACATTGTAGTGAGATTTTTGTTAGAGCAATACTGTTAAATATTGTGTTCATGTTCACCTTGATAATAAGGATTGTTGCTTAGTTGATCCAAACACTGAGAAAACTCTTGTCCACTCTCATATTTTTTTTTTTTTTTATTAAATGTTCACTAAATACAAGGTTCACAGCCCACTCGAGGTAGAGAGTTACTGTGTGGTGTTGTATGAGCATAATTTTGGGCAAGAAGTGAATTTCATGATCTTATACAGGAAAGATAACTAGCTCTAGACTTGAAGTGGTCAAGATTGTTGTGATTGGGGGAAAACGCAAAAGAATAAGACTTTAGAAGGAAGTGGAAGCCCAATCCTGATCAAGGGATAATAAACTTTTACTCGTGTTTTAAAGACTGGAGAGGAATGTGAACTGGGTGAGGGGTGAATATATCTACTCTTATTATAATTTGGACTCCCATTTTACACTCACTTACACATTAATAAAGTAAGAGTTATCAGCAAAATTTTGCATTTTTTATTCTATCCATAACATCATTGGTCTCTTTTTTTTCTTTTTTCTTTTTTTTTTTTTTTTTTTTCCCCCTCTACCCTGTGGGTGCTGTGACAGTTTTTGTGGCACACCAAATATTTCTGTTATGTCATCTTTACATACAAATGTGCATTAAAATCTACAAGAATCTTACTTTGCAGAGATTTTGATTCATTTTAAGTATTGACTTGTATTTGCTGAATTGTTTGTCAATTTGTTCTACTCTCAAAGCGGCTCTACTAGTATGCACGCTGGTAAAACATTCTTCCATGATGAGATGACTTGTTTCAAGAATGGTTCATGTCTCTTGTTTTTGTTTGTAGGACCCAGGATGTACATTGCATAAATTCTTCATCAGTTTCAACCTCATCCTCTGTGTCATTGTTTCCATTATTTCTGTGCTTCCCAGGGTTCAGGAAGGTGAGTAAGGAAGTCCTGTTGACATTGTGCTGTGTGTCTATTTGTGCAGAGGGGAGTCCCTTTAGTGTTTGGTTGGGGGCACAAGGAATAGATATACTGCCTTGGGGAAAAAAAAATTATATATAAAATATGCAGCTTGCTAGCTAGTTCCATTTGAATCATCAGGCAACACACTTCAGGATATGAGAAATGTATGGAGTGGCTTGTGCTAAACAGCTACTAATCAGTCTAAGCTGAAGTGAAAATGAGTTAGCTTGCAAGTTGTCACAATTTCTCTTAAATTGGTGTTCAAACATTGACCATTTTAATTTTCTTTTTTTTTTTTTTTTTTTTTCTTTTACAATCTGCATGCATGTATGCTCCAATTCAATTTAAATGAGGGCTCAATACAAAAGTACAGCAGTATTCTATATTTTAGGATATTACATCAAAAACATGTAAAAAGAAATAAAAAGGTACACAAATGCAATCATGTTTTGATGTGCATTAACACATCTCATCAAGTGTTAGTAAATAGCTGATGAGATGCATTGAAACATGATTGCATTTGTGTAGCATTGTTATTACATGTTTTTCATGTAATATCCTAAAATAAAGTGTGTGTGTGTGTATATATATATATATATATATATATATATATACACTTTTCAAATATATTTCAAATATAACTAATGTAATATTATTTCAAATATAACTAATGTAAAAAAATATATTACATTTATCTGATACTAAAATGATTTGCATAAAAGAAATCAGCAATAGCATTTACTCATTTTTGTTAGACATTAAAGTATCATTTAGCATCTTCCATAATTTATAATTTACTTAGTCTTTTCAGTAAATGTGATGAATATTTATAAGCATCTCTAAATTAGAGATTTGAATAACTAACATTTTTACTTTTGCTTATAAATACTTGTTGCAAAATAAAATCCTACCATTTGCTTTGATAAAGTCTCTTTATTCACATTATATAATAAAGGGTGTTGTGAAATGAATGATCGGAATATACTTTTGGTTTAAGAGTACAAAATGTTTTTAATGTTCTAAAGCAAGTTAAACATTTATCTGAAAGTAAATAGGCATTTTGTTAATTGTGGCACTAATCTACATCATTTTAACAATTTAAAATGACTTTTGTGGCACCAAATCAAAGATACTTGACTCTCTATTAAAAATTAATAGAGTAAAGTATTGATTACTTTATTTTTTTGAAAAAACTTCATATTGTAGGATTAATGTTTCGATAAATCTTTGAAATATTCATAAAGACTACTTAAATTTGTTACAGAATTTGATTATTTTTATTTCTTTATCAGCTGCTTAATGTGTAGCATATTGGGTGTGAGCATTTGCTTTGTCAGGGAAATTTCTCTTTAACTTGTACGGACTTTTACATTTGTTCTCAAGTTTTAAAAAAAAAAAGTCTCTGGGAAATGTTTGTAAAATACATCTTTGTAATTAAGGTGATGAGTTAATCGGGTCAGATGATCAAACAAAATTATCTCAGTACATACAGATTGCATGCTCAGGTAATCATCAGTTCACTTGTTTACAAATTTCTAGGATGCAACTAAAGGGAAGTTTTAAATGCAAATCAATTTTCTTATAATTTGTCTTGTCCTTTTTTTTTTTTTTTTTTTTTTTTTTTATTAACACTTTACATTTTATTCTCTCTATAGCCCAACCAAGATCTGGACTTTTGCAAGCTTCAGTCATCACCATCTATACGATGTACCTGACTTGGTCTGCTATGACCAACAATCCAGGTGAATTAGCTTTTATTATGCTTTCATTCCTTGCAGACATTATTAATGATTCTGAATTAACCGGCCATGATCCAAGATTTTAAAAGCATTCAAAATAGTTAAATGTGCAATTCATTGTATTGATTATGTTAGTCTCTTTTTTTTTATTATTATAATTTACAGAAACTGATAAATGACAACCTTTTGTTGAATGTCCCTGATGGTAGTTTGTCTACTTTGTTAATTACATCTTGCGGTTTTTGTCTTTAAATGAAGAATGTCTTCATAGATGTCTTAGTTGACTGTTGTTTTTCTCAATATTTGTTACAAGTATTTTGTATTAAGTAAAAACTTTTTGCCTACATGACAATTCATGTGCACATGTCAATTATGCCTAACTTCATCTTGGAAAACCCCTTGTCTCATTTGATTACTTTCATTGTACCTGTCAAAAATGATGGGGCTATTTATATATGGATTGGTACTTCTGCTGTAGTACCCATGCACTCTGCCTAGGATCAAAGTATTGCACCTGTGCATTTTGAAAAAAAAAATGTGTGGGTGTGTACACACACATTGTTTAATGTATATATGCAATTTTCCATTGATTTTTGCATGTTTCAGAATAGCTTTTTTGATTAAATCAGTTCACCCTAATCAAGGCAATAAAGCCACCAAAACTCAAGGAGTTACTGATTGTGTGAGAATATGGAAAAAAAAAAGTTTAAGCAGAAATCAATAAATGAATAGGAATTACAAAGACAAGATAACAATTGACATTGCATTTAAATTTTTTTTCAAGATCAAAGTTGACTGTGAATCAAGAAACTGGAAGAGAGTTTGAGAAGTGTAGAAGAAACTCATAGCATACAACTTAGCTACCAATCTGATACTGCATGTAAATTCATGAAGTTGATGTATCATAGAGGAATGTTCATAAAGGACCTATAACATTGCAGATTCTTTTTTGTGCTTTATCAAGAATCTCTAAATATGTAGCAGAATCCCCAGACCAGATGTAACTATATTCAATGCATGAATGGTAGACTTATGAATATCCAATTATTTCTTTTCATCTTTTGCAGACTGCCGTTGTAATCCAAGGAAGGATTGTGCTAATGCCAATGGTGACTTTGCCAAACTTGGACCATTTGATTGGCAAAGCATTGTTGCTTTGGTTATTTGGTTCTGTGCTGTTCTTTATTCTAGGTAAGTCTTGAGTTCTGCTTGGTATTCTTACACATTTAGGACTGATAATTTTTGTAACTATCATTTTAAAGTGACAAATGATATGGTTCTACTGAAGAATGGTGTGTGTGTGTGTGTGTGTGTGTGTGTGTGTGTGTGTGTGTGAGAGAAAGAAAGATGTGAAGCTTTAAGGAGAATAGGAACTATAAAGAAATCAACAATCAGAAAAAGACAGCTGTAATTTAAGGGTCACATGAGAAAAAAAGCTTGGAGAATTTAAATTTTTAGGCAAGATACATGGTATAGTCAGTGCCTGAACTGTTGTTATGGTAACATAGCTAAAGTATACAGAGTGAAGCCCCTTGACACAGTTTAACTTTGTTGTACATATGTGTAGTTGTGTTTTTGCTCAATTCTGTTTATAGCAGTGCTTGGGAAGAAAGTGTGTAGTGTGGTTGTCTCACCACACTACAGTTTACATCAGTGACCATAGCTTGTGCAACAGTTTTTGGCCAAACACAATATTCCAGGTCCAAAACTGCCATATTCCCCAAGGTCCTGCTCCTTGCAACTTTTTCCTCTTCAAAAATCAAATCCAACTTGAAAGAAACAAAATTTCAAGAGAATGAGACAAGTGCGCTCACTATTCCTCAAAAAAAAAAAAAAAAGTTCCAGCAATGTGTCCATCAATAGAAATGATTCTGAATAAAAGTTTGCGGATACAGAAGTGGATTACTTTGAAGGAGATTAAATGGTGAATTGATGTGTGTTGTTTTTTTCTTTTTTATATCACCAGTCCCTATACTTTTTGTTCAGATCTCATAAGCAGTGAATAATAGTAACCTGATGGCAGAACAAAGACTGGGTGGTAAATATGCCTTGATGTTGGAACACATTCTTTTGGTTATTCTTGAATTTTCAAACAAGTAATACTACAGGTTTTAATTCATAAACCATTGACTGTATTCCTTAGGTGTTTTTTTTTTCTCCTCCATGTCTTTGTGTTGTGGGGATTTATCTTGTTAGTTGTATATCATCGAATTCTTTAGATTTTACTTTTTGTCTATGGTTGTTTTTTATTTGGTTTCTATCAGCATCCGGACATCCAGCAACAGCCAGGTAGGCAAGATTACTATGTCTGAGCGGACCATACTGCAGGCTGATACAG